CAGCTAACATTTTTGTCAAAAATCAGTCTTATGCCTTCAAACCCACTCTTTTTTTTGCAAATACAAATACATGGTAACTTGCAAAATACATTTTTAAGTCAGTTAAAGCCAAGAAAGAGCTCAGAATAAAAGAAGAAATCTTCCCTCTACCAAACTTTAAACCATGCAATGGACTGAAGCTGTGATGCTAAAGGTTGATTTCCTTACTTCCTTGTGCACTTTACAATCTGACATGTCACAGGCAGTGAAAATCCTAAATATAATGGATTTTATTTTTTCCCCTGAAACATTTGGACTCTTTAATGTCTTTGCAACATCAGGTCTTAAAACTGCAGGCCCACATTACACTATATTGATTAAAACAATAATTCAGAAAACCTGGGGAAAAGAAAAGGGGGCTGAACAATCACAGTCAATCACATCACCTCCATGACATGCTGTGAATGTAATTAATCCTACATTTATTTAGAGAAGTTCACACCCTACACATAAAGCAGCAACTCCCTGCTGGCTTCAGACTAGATAATTACCTTGTACCAAGTACTAGGTTTCGATTATAACAAAGAGATGAAAAGGAAAACAGACCTAAGAAGCCAGTCTGCCTTCAGGGTATGTCTCACTGCAAATCAAGAGAAGCAAACCTAACATGCTCAGGAGTATCTGAGTTAGCTTTCATTTAGTTAGTTGCAATAAAGGTAGCAGCTGCTACAGAGGCTGTTGATAAATGCCACCAGGAAGCCTTTTTTTTACTCAAAAGGAAGTAGTCCATACTTGAACTGGCATGTTACACCTATAGTCACCAAAATTAGCAAAATTACATTTGTCTTAGAGCACACATAGAGGTGAAGTTTTGGGTACAGAGCATGCATACATCAAAGCAGCCTATATACTCATACAATAAATTAAGGTGCAGACAGTCCCAGAGGACACACAGCTCATCTCTCCACATACAGATCTCCTTTACTGCAGGAGTTGAAACAACTACAACACAATCATGATTTTATATTTTGCAATAGAACAGATCCTGAATACATATGAGATGGTAAGTTAAAAAATAGAAAAAGTGATAGTGAAAAATACAACAGAAAATACATGGGATCAAACACATTACTCTGCACTAACTGCCTGCTGGACACAAACTCCTAAGAAGTCTCTCAGCTTTCTACCCAGCCACTCATGTCATGGCCAGCAGGCATCATGCTGCCAAGCTACCAGAAGTCAGATATGTACAACAGTGGACAACAAAGCACCATGTGAATAGAGACTAGCACAAAGGGGAATACAAAGCACTGGAGAAAGACATCAGGCAACACAAAGGAACCTCAGTACAGCAAGAGTCAGTGGGTAAACTACTCTGACACCTATAAAGGATACAGCTCCTATGGGGTCACAGACACATCACTCCCCTCCAGCAGAAGGAAAAAAGTTCTGTTGTAACAAACCTACTCCTAGATTCCTCTGGTCTTACCAACCCATATTGCAACCAGTGGTTTCCCCACAGCTCCTTCTCCTCTCCCTCATCTCCTTCTGCTCAGAGTTAGGTGTGAAAAATGGAGAAAAGCTCAGACTTAGAAAACAAATTCAGTTAGAATTTCACCTTGGCAGGGCCGACGTAAGTATCATAGTGGTTTGTAAAAGCTCTGACCTAAAGAAAAAAAAGTATGCAAACTAGACAAATTAAATTTAATTTGTTTATGGAAATGAAAGTAATAACAGAAGTGACAGCAGGGTGGATGAAAAGCTCACTTAGCAGGGGGATCAAATGAAGTGATGACATGTCATTATGACCTCAGGGGTTAAAGATGCAATTTTCCATCTGGCTGCATCTGGCTTTTCAACAGAAATGTTGACACCACCTGCCGAGATTTACTACAAGCTGCCTCCATAGGTCTTTGTCTAGCTTTTGTTACCCAGGTTAACCTTTACTTTTCCCCTCTTTTCTAACAAGTTTTGCTGAGCAACATGCTTCCTTTCTTCAAAACCCAATGAACAGTTAAAAGGGTTTAAGTCCCACTTGATACAATGCATGAAATTTTTAACAGTAATTTCATAAGCAGCTCAAAGAAAGACACTAGAAACCTAGAAAGCAGGTAAAATGAGATTTAAAATTGCAAACAGGAAGATGAATTTTTAGCTACACTGCTAGTATCTTGCACTGACCAAAGACTTCTAGGAATCTACTTTACAAATAGTCACAGGTACTCACATTAAACCATTTTTATGAAAAAAAAATCCTTGGAACTGAAAAACTAGCTTGTACTCATCATACACAATTCACTGTTAGCCCCCTGCATGTGTTTTATTCAGCAGCTTAATCATTTCCAATTCCACATAGATTGTGCTCAAAATAAATCATCTTTTTCCAGCCCAATGATACATTCACTTATTCATCTAATTTAGCCACAGCCAAGCTATGGTCTCAAAGCAAATTTGTAATCAGCTATTGACACACTGTTGGCTATCACTGTTTTGTTTCCACATTGAATATTTTAAAAGCTGGGACCTACCGGGGTGTTCCTCTCCTGGAGGCTTAACCTGGAACAGGACTATATGCTTACAACCACTTGATCCACCAATTATATTCTTACCTGTGCCTAACATTTTTTCTAAACCTACAGTGCCCAGACTTTTCTCTGCAAGTACAGGTGAGTTAAAAAGTTGGTGCCAGCTGTTTTTGAAGTGCCCAGACTGTCCAATAAAAAGAGCCTATAGTCTGTTTTAATTGTTTAAACAAAGAGGTACCAACCTCCACTGCGACTTGGTTACATACCAGGGAAAGAAAAGAAGCAAATAAAAACCCTCCACATATTTTGAGAGAGCCCTGGGACTACAGCTATGACAAGAGGAGAAAATGGAGACCAAGAAAGATAGCAAAGCTTGAATGGAGCAAAGAATAGCTAAGAAACAAAACAGAGAAAGAATCCAGGCTAATGAGTCTCATAAATAACCTCACTGAAAAACCACCACAAAAATACCTGTAAATACCTTCCCCTCCCAAAGCTCTCTCACCACAAAGGCAATTTACCTTCTTCCCCTGCAACGGAAGATGTACTACCCCACTCTCCAGATGCCTTATGTACCAGGGGGAGCTGGGAACTCCTGTCATTATCAGACAAGTCATCACTCATTCCTAATCTGTTAAGGTATTTTCTGAACAACAAGTAAACTTCACTGTTGCCTTCAACATAATGGAAAAAACAGGTCCCTGTTTGCTTCACACATGTTTTCAACTTCAAGCACAGGCTTCACTGCTGAACTGAAAATGAATGACTCAGACCCATGCTTAAATGCTTTCCTGATTCAGACCTGAAAAATAGGAATGGCTTCTGCAGTTCCTCTTTCTCTCGTTCTCCTAATGACAGACAACTATTGTGCCATGTCATTATGACAATAAGATAGCTTAATTGCCCTCTTCCCAGAAGCTGTCAGTTCTGCTTAACTGGTACACAATGTATGCGTCTGGGAGCAAATGCGTTAATATGTCAGTCAGTTCTACCTACCATACATTTTCTTCTGCTGTATTTAAAAGAAAGCCTTAGGTTTTATAACTTGCTAGACATTCTGTTGCTTGATATGGGCAGCAGTGACATTACTGCCTCATGACTCATTTCTTTGTGAAAGATGCATGAAATAACTTTCATTTACCTTCTTCACCTCATCTTCAACCTGAACATGAATTTCCCCATACCTCTGCTTAAGGTATGGCCAAAAAAGGCCTCCTCAAAAATGACAGTGTAAAATGAACTGGCTGTTCCACTAACTGATTGGGATTGATGAATCACAGTGTTTGGAAACACCTGCAGTGGCCTTAAAATATTTTTCTGCATTGTTACTTACAGGAGCATAGTCACTGAGAGCATACAGAGAAGAATGTGAACCAATAGTATCTACACAAAGTAATAAGCAATTGTTAACTGGAGGCTTTTATAAGGAGCACTCTAAGGTCACACCTAAATACACAGCCCATGCAAACTGGCTCAATTCTCTCTTTTATTATCATAATGATTATTACCAAGTTCCCTCTATTTCCCTCAATGCTTCTTCTGTCTTGTGCACTTATTCTTTCTCTCAGTGTCTCTTGGTAAATTGTGAACTGGAATGCAATGACTATTTTTACCTACTGTTTTACGAGTCTATATGTTGCTATATTAACATGACAATGGCATTTTTTGTTTATATTGGTAATGCCTTCCTTTTCAGAGAAATACTACTTGAAACTCCTACATGTATTTTGTGGGTCTTCAGAGAAGGCTGTTTAGACACAAAAAAGCAGGGAGAAAGTAAATGACAAAAGCAATATAAAGCTTAGTAAGATTTGAACATGCAGCTTTCCTCGTTCATGTCATCCATTTCTCACTGATGTCCTACCAATACTCTGGCTTTTAAACCACAGTGAAGTGGAAGCCAAAGCACATTGCCAGGGGCAGTGGAGCTGGCAAGCAACTACAGGGGCAAGAGTACACAGGGCAGAGATTTGTGACACTTATTCTGGTGTTAATCATCAATTGCTACAACTGCTACAGTCCATAAATCAACTGTTCCATAGAGATGAAATTATTTGCATGTCCATCTGACTAGAACTGAAAGTTGTCAATTCTACTGGAAGTTATAAATCCAGTCCTGAATGGGGAGTAATTTCCAACCTTTTTCCTAATATTACACAAGTGCTATATAAACATTTTAGTTCTAGGAAAGATCACAACAGAATCAATTCCCCAGAAGCTGTTTCTTCCCCAAAACTGTTCTTAATGAAAAGTCACATTTTATTTAAAATGCAAATCCTCCTTCCCTTCTCCAATGATGTCACTACATGAAAAATTGCACTGAATGTCTTTGCTTAAGTAGTAAGAATTGCTGGACAGCCAAGGTTAATTAAAAAAAAAGACTGATCGCATTTCCATTTGTAGGAGAGAGTATTTCTTGTCATTTTACTGGCACTTGATCACAGATTAAGTTATGTAAAAACATTTCTCACATCAGTTAACTACTTAAGAACTTACTTGGTTTTTTGAATCCAGATGCAGTAGTCTGTAATGAAGAGATCATTAAGGATGTAGGAAGGGTCATTCTCCATAAAAATCTTGTGAATGTCCAGCAGACACTTCAAAACTGCAGCTTTTCCTGGAAATAGATTTTGTTTCTGTAATTCATTAGAAGTTGTAATAGATAATCTTTACCATCTTCTCACCTTTCAGGTTGTAATAACTTTGCCATCTACAACCATCTTGTAACTTCAAGATGATTCAGTCTCAGAATGGCAGTAATATGACTATGCCTTTCAGCATCCACATCTATGTGGATGGGAGAGCCTCTGAATTCAGGAGCAAACTGCAAGAATATAGCTCCAAGACACAGTCATGCATGTAATCCCCTGCAGCTGAAGCCCCTCCCCCAGTTTTTCCACTTCTGAGCTGTGCTGGCCCAAACTTCAGCACAGCCTTACAGGGCACCATATTAAAAAAAAAAAGCTGAAAATTAACGTGAAACGAACAAAAAATTCTACTTCATCATTTATCCAAGGAAAGAGAATCTGTTTCCCTGTATGCCTACACAAATACCTGTGTTGGAAAATAACAACATTGGGAAGATGCAGCCTGCAGCTGGATCAAGCATGCAGGAGTCACAGAGTTGTGCAAGCCAGTGTGAACAACACAGTTGCCTACCATCCAACCACTGCCTTAAATCAGGCAGAACTTCTCCTCCTGTTAGTTACAGAATAATTTGTCAAACTGAGCCTCAGAAAACTCTCTTCAAGCTGATGAAGGTGCCATTTGACATACAGTTGATAAATGCAATAAAAGGTTAAGAACTTGAATGTTTTCTCATTCCATAACAAGAAACCTTTCAGTAGTCAGTTTAATTTTCTTCACATGCAACCATTGTTTATGAGGAATTGATTAATGTAACCTCCAATTAGCTGGATCTCCTCCCTTAGTTTTCTGATCAAAGCTGCTAAAGGGTTAAGTGCTAGAACATGAAAAAATAGAATTATTTTCACTGTTTAATGGGGGGAAAAAAAAACAACACTCAAATGAAAACAGCCACTACTGCAAATGGAATCTAATAACCCTCTCCCAAGAGGCTGGCTCCTCCTAGGCTATGAAACCTGAACATGGATGAAATTACATTTTACAGATTTAAAAAAAAAAAAAGAAAAAGGAAAAAAAAAGATCAGCACTCCCCCTGCTGTTCATGCATCAAATTTGTTTGCTTGTTTTCGTGTAAATAGAGAATGATAGTTAAAGGATGTGGAAAATGGCAGTAAGGAGAAAGAACCTGGAGAATACAAAGCCATGGCAAACGGAACTGAAAAAACCCACTGGTTTGAAAGAAAGCAATTATAAAATCCCAAATATAACTGATTAACTTTTAGATTGTCTCACCATCAATGCTTGTCAAGCCAAGCTTGTCAAACTTCACTATTTTGACTAGAAAGAAGTGTGTTCTTTCAAAAAGAAATGATATGTGGAATTAAAATTTTGCTAATTTTTTAAGGTTCTAGCTGTCAAGCTGCCAGCCTGAACCATTTACCACATCTACTACTGTTACTCATCTGCCAAGTAACAATGTAAATTACTGACTGTAATATTAATTCTCAATAAAAAGTAGTCTTTCCTCATAAATTAGTTATGGATTACAGTAGCTTAATGGGGCCTCTAATTAGGGAGGCTGCAAATCTTGCCAGACTTGGTAGTGTAAGGGAACCCCAAACACATACAGGGAAAGACTTTGCATCGTTTGCAAAGTATGTTGTAGAACAGAAATTCCTCAAAAGAATGGCTCAACTTCCACTGAACTTGGGAGGAGGAAAAATTCTGACTGAATGAAAGTGCCCTGGTAGCACAAGCGTTATGTGCAAATCTGTTTCTTTTAAGGATACAGAGATACACAACTCCCTCTGTCCCCACTCCTGATTAGACAGGTAATACATCCTTTTTTTATCTTCCCCACTCTTTGGGAGTTGGCTATTAAAAAAAACTTAGCACTTTTTGCACTCTACGTGCACCGTAATAGTAAATACTCATTTGATATACAAACTCCAGAACTTCAGAAGTTAACACTAATCACCACTACTTTTATCTCTCCACTGCTAACTTGCAAATGCCCCTTCCAACAGATTTATGTCCACATGAAGCAAGTGATATATTTGTGTCTGCTTCCCAAGCAGCACCTGGAGATTATTATGGCTCTCCACTATTAACAGCTCCAGCTGGAATGAGCACACGTTCTCATTTCTTGAGGCTTGCATGTGCCTTCTCAGCACCCTGAAGCTCCACAGCCTGCTCTGCAGAGGCAGCTGTCGCCCTGTTGCCCCGGCAACCAGCACAGAATGAAGCCAGACCTGCTGTGTTTCTTAACTTCTTCCACTGCTTCTAAACCATTCTAACCATCAAATCACTGGGGGCAGAAAAAAACAGGTTACCCTACTCCCCATCCCAATAGGGAATAACAGAATCATTAAAGTTGGAAGAGACCTCTAAGATCATAAAGTCTAACCATCAACCCAACACCACCATGCCACCTAGTGCCAGTGCCCACACTTTTTTTTAACACCTCCAGGATAGTGACTCCACCACTCCCCTGGACAGCTTGTTCCATGAGTTAGTGTACCCAAACTACTCCTCCAGAGAAGACAGGGACTTGGCTGTTACAGCAAGAGCATCAAGAGTGACACAGGAAGACGATGACATGAAGCAACATTGGGCCACTGTGTTTTGGAAGCAGAAGGTAAGGAGGCAACAGCAGCCAGATGTCCAGTAGAGGAGGACTGAGTAGGAAACCTGATGCAGTTACTGCATATGTCACCTCCCTTACCAAACTACTGAAAATATTTTGTTGCATCACTGAATGTTCACTCCTGTATCATTTTCCATCATAACATCGTAAGCCCATGAGCTTACCTCTCATGGACTGTCCTCTCCAGAAAAAAAATCTGAAGGGCTGGCAGCACATCATGATTTCAGTTCTGTAACCAGAACTTTATTTTTTCACACTTTAGAGCAGCAGCATAAATTAGTAGGGATACGAGAAGAGAGACAGCATGCATCTTCCCCTTGAAACTTGACTACCTTATTGTTAAAAAGTAAACAGTACTTTGCATCTCAATAGTTTTTGGCAGTAGTAGAGATTAATACTGCCATTTGTGGGTTGTTGTTTTTTAATGCTGCAACTTACAAGCACTGAGAATCAATAACCAAAGCAATGCTTCTCAGCGATTCTTCCATCAAAAAATTCTAACACTAAATGCTTTTTAAAGTAGGGACTCACAACAGATAGAAAAGTTGCAAATAACTTTAACGACCTAAAAAATAAACATGGTTGTGTAAGGGTGCACAACTGAAGCTGGAATAAGCATAGGTTTCAAAGTTTGCACTGTTAAATGAAAGCTGTCTGGGATAAACAGGGAATACATAAAAAGACTCACTGCTGAAATAATAATTTGCAGCCATTTAAGATGATGACAGGTCTGCTCATGAATATGGAACAAAGAAGCTACAGATGTGTGCAGTCAGTTCTTTATTCTTCAGTTTTACATGATTTTTTTAATACTAGTTTGTTATTTTTCAACAGAATAGTCCTCATGGTATTCACAGCTTGTTTTTTATCAATAATTCTACCTGGCTGTTATTTAGAACTTATTTTCCTACTAAGAAGCAGAGAACTAAGAAAACATATGTAAGTCAGTTTTTTGGCCTCTGCTCCTAAGAGAGAAAAATTATATAGGAAGTACACTAAAAGAACAATGATGCAAAACAAGTTTTGATTCTGATACAAATTGAGGATTTCTGTTCTTCCCTGACTTCCACTGGACTCACCAGAGTCATCTCAACCATTTTGCCTTAATCCTACAAAGAGATGTAGGATTGAATATGACCCACAAAACTAGCCCTTGCCTCAAACGTGTAACGCTGTACAGAGATAACTGATCTGGTACACAGTGGAAAAATTTAGGAATTCAGATGGCTACAAGTCAAATACAGTTACTTTGAACAGGAAAAGAAAACCTTAATGGACTGGCTTAGTTTTAGAAAAACCCAAAACAACCGAAGATCTAATTCTAGAAAAAGAAACTGGCAAGCTTAGAGAACACTATTTCAACACTGACATAAGCTTAAAATCATATCATCGCTGACAAGGGTTAAATTAAAACAATAGTTCTTTCAAGCAGTAAATCATGCAGGGAAGCCGCCCAGATTTGCAACTGCAAAGACATGGTGAGAACTTAGAACAGTCATAACAACTGCTTAAAAAATTTCCCTTAACTGGAGACAAGTAGTGGAAGGTACCAGAAACCTGTCCAAACTTTAACAGGGCTTCAATCAAGAATACAAAAAACAGGGAAACAGGGTTCCTGCTACACTTTTAACAATAAATTACTCCGCTTTGAAATAAAAATTGAGACACCTTTAGTATAGGGGCTAAGCCAACTATAGTTTCTGAACTACCATAACAAAATCTTCATTAATATGGTCTTTCCAATGGAACCATCTCTTAACAAATACAGTAAAGAGAAAAATACTTTTAAAATCAACACCATGTGAATAATTATAACAAACTATAATTTTTTCTAATGATAAAACACTCATAACATTTCTTTCATGGGGATTTTCTGGGATGAATAATAAAAAATGTTAATTTACACCACAACTGTATGTACTATCCACTGACTAATAAATTAGTTGCTTCAGGGACTTTTTCCTGGCAGGGATGCTAATTTTGTTCTCTCCTCTCCCTAGTCCCATTTTCACAAAACCTCAAGATGTCCAGGCATGTCTATATCTACACCAAGCTTGGGTGAAACTAGCCAGAACATTCCAAAGTTACTAAAAAATCAGACATAAAACCAATGTGGCTGTATAGGTATCACTTCCAATCCCTAAAATTCTTACCTAGTTGCAGTATCATCCCTGTATCACTGAAGGCACGTGTCACTAATCCAAAATGTCTGTACAGGGGATAGCATAACACTCTTCTTCCAAAGGACACCAGGACATCATGAATGCTAGTGAAGCTCTGGGTGTATCAATGGAAAATCTGAATTAGTCTGTGCTTTCCAAAGCAAAGAACGAAGGTTTGTTTTCCTTTGAGGCACGAAGTCACAACAGAATACCAGAAAAAGCACATTTTCATATATTATGCATCTAAAATTCTGTTTTAATAGATAAGAAAATCAAGATGTTACATAGAAACAGGACACTGCCCATTTAGCCTGCATGGCAGGATAACAGAAGTCCTATAGATTTTAGTGGTTCTGCATTTAAAAAAACAAAACCACAGAAAATATCAGAATAAAACATCTACTCAAGACTTTGCCATTCTTTAGATTGAAGCCATAAATTACATCTGTCCCACATTATTATATATATTAAGGGAAAGCTATAAAAAGCCTTTTAAGAATAAAGAGGAATTAAAACCACATGATATTAATGAAATACATGTGTACATATAAGATCTTTAAAAATGATACATGACTCTGCCTTTCATGAAAATTACAGATATTCAAGACAGGGATAAATGTATCTGCCTAGAGAAAGCAGTTCACTGTCTTCTTCCACAACAGAGGAAGACCTCTAATTTACACAGGGGCATTAATGAGTTACTAAAGATTCTCTTAAGCAAGTGATTTCCTTTTCACCTTTCACAGCAAAATATTCCATTTATAAATTCAAATAAAAATAGCTATTTCATCTTGAACTCTTGATTTATTAAAATCAATAAAAAAGCTTTGCTGACAGCCAGCACTTCTTTACATTATATGACTACCTCAACCTATTTTTCATTGTAATGGATTGCCTTAAGCACTTAAATTATTTATGTTTAGTTATTTAATATTTAGAGTCTAAGGTGTGTACATGTCATGCACAGCAAAATGGCAGTCAGTTCAAACAAACCATAGCTGAGGCAATTTTGTTTACAGATTGATGAAAACACCCGCCTCTACATGGTTTGTATAACAGATATAGTTATTAACAGCTTGGTGCCAGGAGACTGAATTTTCTGGGTGTGAAATATACTGTTGGCACAGGCTGCGCCAAGAACTGCTACATTATAGGGTAAGCACATGCAGAAATCTCCTCCACTGTGTTAGGATATGGATCAAAAAAAAAAATCTGAGAGTTAAGGCAATTGCTGCATTTTAACTGTACCCCTCTGTGACTTGCTACTGCAGAACATTCCACTGGCAACCAACTAAACTGAACAAACCTATAAAACCAGTTGTCACAGAACTAGCTATTACTGAATAGAACATTCACCACTACTACTCCTACAGAATTGTTTGAAGGACTGAACCCAAAAAACCTGTCAAATTTCATTTTTGATTCTGCTAACTGAGACTTGGCTCAGTAATTTCAGGAATGGGGCAGGACAATCCCTTCCTTCTAATCTTCCCAGTTTCACCCTCCAATCAACTCTGAAGTCACAGCAGAATAGAGGAGAAGCCAAAAGCCACCTGATCTGCAGGCAAGAAAGAGAGCAAGCTGGAAGTGACAAATGATGAACTAGGAATGCTGAAGAAAGCCTCAGCAGTCAAAACCCCCAGAATTGAAAAGTAAGCTCCTTTATTAAGGCCTGGCATGCTCAAAAGTTACTAGACATATCTGAGGTAGGACTTAAAAGACATAAGAGCACTAGTAAACTACATTACTTGCTTTTTATCACCTTTCTATTTGAACTTGCTTTAGTCAGTTAAACAGGAAGGTAAACATCTGACCAAGGAGCTAGAAGGCTGTGTTTTCTTGCCCTAAGCATGGAGTTGGACACATGGTGAAGAATAATTACAGTTGCTTCCTAAGTAAAGGTCAGGATTTGTGAATGAAGCCCAGGAGCTGGGGACAATGTGTAGATGAGCAGCTTTTTCTTAGTGCCTGTCCTTAGCTTTTCCAGAATGGGTGAGAAGGCACCCAGTAGAGGAGGGGTCCTACTCTTGAGTCTAGAAGTAGCTGGGAGCCCAGAATTCACAACTGATTTCTTGTAACATTTCTTAAACAGATGACATACACTTATTCAATACTGAAAGCTTTCCACAAAAGAAACATTAAAACAACACAAATATTACAGTAAAAACATACTACAAAACTTGTTTTCACTTACCTCCAGCCAACACAACGTAGCACTCAGTTTCCTGATGTTCCAGGATGATTCAACCTGATTTTAAGAGGAGACCGTAAAACAAGTATTAATTAATTCAACATTCAAGACTGCTGCAAACTATTTAAGATAACATTCTGGCAGCAAATTGAAGAACCTCTGTGAATATGAACCAGTAATTATATTACATGTATTGAAATGGCCACTGGACAGCATTAAAAATTATATTGCAAAGCAGATGTTAAATAACTCCGTTGGTTTCCATATTGGGAATACCTAGACACAAAGCCTTTAAAATACAGTAACAATCACAGAAAAATGGTATTTTAATGAAATTCCATCCCTTTTCACCAAGCAACAGAAACCTGAATCAACAAAGCTCAAGCTGAAGTGCCTTGTTTTGTGAAAACAGATCAAGACTTTGGGCTTTCAGAGAGGGTCACAAAGCCAGCAGTACATATAAAATGTCATTATTTCTTAAAACGTGACAGATTCATAGTATTTGTGTGGTAGTGCAGCCTAGTGGGATGATTAGGGCAAAAAGCCAGGAAGCCTCGATTTATAATCTTGGCTCTACAAAGATTGTGAGAGTGACAGAGCACTGGAACAGGCTGCCCAGAGAGGCTGTGGAGCCTCTTTCACTGGAGACATTCAAAACCCCCCTGGACACGTTCCTGTGTGATGTGCTCTGGGTGATCCTGCTCTGGCAGGGGGGTTGGACTAGATGATCTTTTGAGGTCACTTCCAACCCCTAAGATTCTGTAATTGATAAAGGTTTTTATAATTGTTTTCCTCACATATTTGTAATTTTGTGCAACACTAACACAGAATACAACAACTATCCTAGATTATTTTGTTCTCTCAACATTTCTGCCTGCCATTCTAAAATCCGAGGCTCAGTTCAGTTTAAAATAAAATTATTTGATTAGATATTCATATATTTTTTTATTAAAAGCATTGAGAAAACATCTCATTGGTTAGTAACAGCAGAGAAGATGGTAAACAAAGTTGTACCTAGGAATCTAGTCCATTTCAAAAAGGCAAGCTTTCCACAGAACAGTATGGAATGTTTTCTAAACTTGTGCTTTTTTTCTTAGTTCTTTATATCCTCTAAAAAGCCCAGGATCAAGAGCACAAAATAAAGCTGGCTGCTGCTTGTGTAAGAGATGGGTAAACACCAGAATCCTGATAATGAAAACATGTCTCCCTGCTTACTTCTGGTGTTTGAATACTGGAAAAATAAAACTCTGCATTAGGATTTTGTTCTCTTTTAAATGTGTGCCACTTAAAAAATTTAAATGCCCCAGGAAACAAATTCCTTCCTCAGCACACAAGCTTAAAAATAAAATAGAAAAATTGCTTTTGTTAAAAACATGTAATGGTAGCCCATACAAAACACTTCACACAGTTTCTGTCCTACAGACATAATGATTTCCCATGCTTTTCTGAATCTGAATCAGTATCAAGACACATCACACCACAAAACAAATCAGAAACATAATTGTCTGGAGTCTCCTGTACCTCCACTCCTCTCCTACAGCTAAAATGCTGCTTTAGAAGTATTAAAAAAATTATATTAACCCCCAAATACATCCCAACGGCTCAATCCAGAGATATAAAGCAGTTTATTTTAACTTACTCCATTACACACTTTTAACGCTTGGAAGTAAGTTCACTTTAAAAGGTAAGATTCCTAAATGACAATACAGAGTCCAGCACTAGGTCCCTAAAACATACTAAGTGTATTTCTTTTTTTACTTACATTCTTGTCCCCTTCATTGACACAGATTTCATAGCAATATGCCAGAAGGATATCGATTAAACTGAGATATACATGATGACGGCTTCTTTTATCCAGAAGATAAGATTTATTTGTGAACTTTCTCAGCTGCTCTTTTTCTTCTTCAGAGAAGACAACTATAAAAAGGATAATTGGTTATGAATTTAAAGCTGGTACATTCATTTTAATAGGTGGTGAGATTACTTTGACAGTCTCTTTAAAAAGAAGTGCGTTACTAATCACAAGTCACTCATCACTCAGGAAAAAGCCTAAATCATTCTTACTTTCATTTTTACTTATATTAAACTCTGATATAGTCCTTCAAAAGTCAAATTCCAACCCTGCAAAGTCCTGTATGTACACACTGGCAATTCTGAACCTCTTTGAAAGCAACAAGGATGCCTGGGTATCTTGTACAGAGATCAGTGCAACTAGAATCTGAGTATGTTGAAGTTTCTCAAGTTCACATTTTATGGGATAAATATAACAGGATAACAAAAATAAATCTATTTTCTGACTGTAGAAAAAGATAAGAAATAGGGATTGGAAAAAAAACAGGACAGGTGCAATTTTTTATTTCTAAGCCTCATCAATCTCAACTTATGACCTGGGCATGATTTAGAAGCTTCATTATGGCTGAGATCATCCTTCCAGAGTGAGAATAATATCAAAGATCAAAATCCTATCCCACACTAATGAAAACTGCATTTCCTTCCAAAGAGTTATGGTATCTACCATCAGTGACCATCGTATTTTGCTCCTCTTCAGTGTATTTCATTTAATTAAGAATGGCTATACTGAGTCAAACCAATGAACCTTCTCATCCAATACTTTCTCTTTGGGATGCATAAGGTAGATGACACCACCACCACAGCAGGCATGCTGTGACAATGCATCAAACTGTTTCTCTAGGAAACTCTGATATAGACATGGATAGTCAGGATTGAATGAAAACCCTTCTAAAAAGTACTTAAAACACTTCAGAAAAGATGGCCAAATTGCCTTGAAATAACAGTAAAGATACAGTGCGTAACTGACTCATTATACTCCATACCGAATCCACTACTGAGAATAAAGGTTTCTTACTTCAATATGCAAACTGTCTGAAGCATAATAAAATATACAACTGTACTTGCCCTTCTCAGTGGTTCTCAGTGTCAGAACATGGAGCAAAAGGTACAAGTTGGAACACAGGAAGTTCCATTTAAATATGAGGAAAAACATCTTCACAGTGAGGGTGATTGAGCACTCCAACAGGCTGCCCAGGGAGGCTGTGGAGTCTCCATCTCTAGAGACATTCAAAACCCACCTGGACACAGTCCTGTGTAAAGTGCTCTAGGTTATCCCACTTCAGTGGGAGAGTTGGACTAGATTATCTCTATAGGACCCTTCCAATTCCAGCAATTCTGTGACTCTGTGATACATACACAACACATACAACCACAAACACAGAAAAAGCAAGTCTAGACAACAGCAAACAAGGCATGCAGCAGACAATTCCCCAAGGACAACAACACAAGATGTTCACTAACTCAGTGCAAAGTGCCAGGTGTTCTAAATACAATTTCTCTCTCTGGAGAAAATATTTTCATTTTACAAATAAATACAAGCTATTCCTTAAAGTTTTTGAACAATCCAGGCCTAAAACTCATTAACACATCAGACTCACCACCTACATTGTCTTCCCAATTCAAAAACACAAGCACATAGCAAAAGATTAGCAGAACAAGTACCATTATATTTTCTACTGTATTAAGCCTGGATTTTGTACACTTGTATTACCAGTGTTTTATCTACCAACACTTATACGACAATTAACAGTAATCTACTGCAAAGCAGGATCTGCTGCTACTTATGAGTACTAAATCTGCAAGTTTCCATTAAGTTTGATTTTAAAAGATTTTGTACATTTGTCGGAGACAAATTCATGCTTCTTCCAGCCACAGTATAACTGTTTATCAATACATGCATGTCTACAGGAATCAAATTAATCTCACATACAAAGTTACTGTTAGACAGTACTAGAGACTGCTCTTTTTAATCATCTCCTTCACTCTTATTAACCCAGCCATTCCTGATGTTAAACACACATGTTGCACGTTGCTCCTCAGTACCCAGCTGTCAATGAAGTACATTTAATCTCTAAAGGGGAGGTTGAGGCCTGACAGCTAGAGAATGCTTTGTTACAGCCTTACTGATATTTTACACTGCACATCACATCACTTCAATCAAGCCAGTCTAAGATCTATATCTCAAGATTACTGTGACACTTACTGTTCTTCATGTGTTAGGGGCACTTAAATAAAACGTGCTATCTAGACAAACAGCCAACTCAGTGGTCAGGCTCAGAGAACTACTCAGAAGTATAGTCAGAAAGGGCTTCTGCTAAGCAGTTGGTCTAGCCTTCCAGTGAAAGCAGAGCCTTGGTTTATGGTCCTGGTCTTGAATTCCACAGCTACCTTGAAGGAAAAGAATTCAGCAGAATGGATTTTCACTAGAATATTACACTACAATATTACATTTCTTTCATGTGTACTTCTATCTCTGCAAGGAATCAACAATACCAGTCAAAGGAGGAGATTAGTCAGCAGAGAATAAATTCATCAGAAAGGCAGTTATTGATTTTAATCAGTAGCAAACAAGTCTCTTCTGAAGCACTTTCTAAGACATGAAAAGAAGAAAGGCAGCAATACTATTACTATAAAGATGCCCAAAGGCTCAGTCAGGTCTTGTTTGTTCATCCCTCCCCCTTCTTTACAATTTCCATGTTCAAATTTTAGCTCCTTCACAAGTATTTTTTCCTCCATGCCACTTTTCTAATTCTCAAATCAACAGTGAGGGTCCATTTCCTCCATATCACATCTGACTTTCTTCCTTCAGGCATTCTTCACAGTCACTGGACTTGGAACAGGCTTTCCTGGATTTTGCAATTTCCTTTTTACTAATTTTGTCATTATTGTTTAACAAGTCTGCAATTCCAATAAATCATATCAAAACCATACCTCGTTTTTTCTTTCATGTCTTACTGCTCATGCATTTTGAAGTCTGAGATACTTTACAACAGACACCTATCATTTATATATTATTAATTTTGCATTAATAAACAGCAATCTTTCCTCAAATGAAGAATACTTGCTTTGCAGTAGAACAGTGCCAGCAAGGTACACATGCTGCTAAGGCCTGGAAGACTTGAGTACAACAAGCAGACAGAACAATGGCAGAAATCTGATAAAAACAAAAAGTGATTCATCTTATCCATCAGTGATGATATATATTTGAGTAGAGCCCTAATGAAAGGTGGATCTTTAAAAAGAATTGCTTCACATTCTAGAAAGAGATCAGAAAGACAGAATGGTCACTGGTAAGCGAGACAGGTTACTGTAAACAAAATAAATGATCCCTGGAGCATATAAATGTTACATTGAATACATATGGCAGCTTGGGCCTTTGAAGATTATTGTGTTGCCTAAAAAGGAGTTTTTACAGTTGTGCAGTTTGAAGTAGAATAAAAAATGAACTTTTAACTAAGTTGAATGTGACTGCTACAAAATATAAAACCTTTCCTCTAGAATATGTAGAAGCAAGATTTTAATGTAAAGTTCAGCAGCAGCAGAAAGCCAGCCTTCCAAAAGTTTACTCCCTCACGGGAAAGGCTGTGTAATTACTTAGGCTTTATGGAGTATTATTTGACTTGCATCAGACATTGAAAGCATGAACAAAATCAGGGCCTTTCAGCTTGAGAAAACATCCACCCCAGAAAGGCTATTTTCCTACAAACATGAGGATGAAACCTGCTCTGTAGGTACTTCTGGTTCCTCAGCCATACTGCAAAGGCAATAACCTTAGCTGCCTGGTGGGTAACAAGCCTAGGGGGGAAATGAACAAAAACCCCACAGAGCAATCTTTGCAATATACAGCAAAATGTAAGGACAAAAGAAAGAAAAGACACTTATGGCAATAAGAAATTTTTAAAAAGACAAAATACACCATGCACACAAGCTAGATGGAAAATAAAAAGGTAAGCACAAAAGAGAGCTGGAGACTCTAAATGCTGAAGAGAACAGCTGACACAAAAGAGAAAAAAAACTAGTAATGAGACATTAAAAAACCTGATGATGTAAACGCAAAAGAGAATAACCAGGAATGAAAGAGCAGTAATCAAACAAAATCTTGAGTTAATTTCAATACCATGCAGAAAACCCGAAAAAAATGCCACAAAAACCCCACACCAACAAACAAGAAGCAGTGATTTGTATGTCTAATCACTCTCTGTAGCCAAAAACAGAATGAAGACAAGTTAGTTTCCAGTTCTAAGAAACAAATGAAGATAAAAGCAGAAATACATTAACATAAACCAGCAAAAGGAAGAAAAAAAATTTTCTACATTCAGTGCTTTTGAATTAGAAAATACTTTTAAAGAATCTGCTACTTTTTATGTCGCTTTCCAACACTAAACTCACTTTTCCCCATGTAGTAACTTGAGGAGTTGATTTCCAATGACATTCCTGATTCCACAGACACTGTGTAGGTGGGAATGGCACAAAATACAGGGACTCTAGAGGTACCCAGGTGTCAAATTCCAGTGTCAACACCCCAATATTGTGGCAGCCTGTAATCTCCTGACAATTTTAACATTAAAATCCTAAAAAGATTCACCATGTCACATTTGAGGGTAGCAGACTTCCCCAGGAGATGCTGCACATCTGACAACTGGCTTTGGACAGCATGTGTTTAACCAAGAACACAATCTTCTTTCACACAGGACAGACAGATGTTTCTGCAAGCTGGCCATGGCCCTATACCTACCACAAGTTGTAAATATTTTAAACACACCAATATTTGGAGTCTCTTTACAAGCTGTATGCTTTGAAGTACCTCACTTCATCATGGAAGATGACAGAAATTACCTTATTTTAGAGGTCTTAACACAGGACCCGAGTTTGGAACTCAGGCAGAGTAAGAAATCTACTGATTCCTCATTTCTATAAAAAATAAAAAGAAATTGCATGAAGGCTTCAATCCCTCCTCCTTTATGCCCTTAAACAGGTTCAAAAGTGAAGAGAGGACATTTGTATTTGATTAGTTTAAAAAGTTTTATCTCACCCTTACATGTAGGGGGATACTTGCATACATAGACTCCAAGACTCACCACACATCACTTCATAAAACACCTTAAAACACATTGCAATATGTGTAACCTTTGTGCCCCAGGAGCTTCTGAGCTCAAGAACTCTTTAGCTTTTCCTAGCTAAGCACGGGTGTTCAAAGGGTTCTTACCACAAGCACACACTAATACCAGTGACAGCCTCTTTATCCTCCCAGCTGCATAGTGCACTTCAGCTTAATGCTTCCCCCCACTTCTAGTGGAAATAACATAACATTTCTCAAGTAGTAAAGAAGCTCCTTCACCTAGCACAGTTCTTGTTTCTTTTATGTTCCTTTTTTATGTCACTTCCTTTTATGAAGCATATTGGAATACATATTAATGCAGACAGGCAGTCAAATTGCATTCAGCTTTTAAGAATTCCTGGATCTGTAACTCATATTAGCCAGACCATCCCTTTGATTGGATAAAGCATGGAAGGAACACAAAACCACGGGGAACTTATCCTACTGATTATCAGATTCCAGATTCAACAGCCTGGACCCACCTCCTGCCCTCTTGTATTTCCATCCAAGAGACCTTCAAGTGGAACCTGCACTCCCTCTCATGGCGGTTTCTTTCACCACAAGTCACTCAAGTGTAGGAACCTCCGATGATGTCAATAACCCAAACACCAGATACGCTTTTACGTTACTTTAAATTTCCTCAAGATCCACAAAATTACACGGGCCTCTTCACTCAGCTATATGAAGGTTAGACTGAATTTTATTGATCATCCTTCTTAAATATCTGTTATAACAAATGGTTTAGAGAAAAGGTGATCCTTTATGTAGCCCCACTTTATGCATAAATTTTGTTAATCTGCTTGCCAGGCTTTCAAGTAGTTTGTTTTTATTGCCCCTAAAACCTGGCAACACACGTTTCTCTTTGGAATCGATTTGGTAGAAATAGTCTTTATCAACAAAAATATCTAGTACTTCTTTATTTTCATTATACTCCACAACACAGGCAAACATTAGCAGTGTGTCATTTACTATGGGGTGAATGGGCAAAAACAAACAAAAGAACCCTCATTCTATTTTCAAGTCTCTTGTATCTTTCTCCAATACTTTTAAAATCAAATGCTTATGATGGATATAATTAAAAATGTCTGGCTTCAGAGGCTGACAAGAGACCAGCTACAAAGATCAGATTACATTCACAGTAAAACACACATTTACCTAAATTCCATTGTTGCTCTCCAGTAGAAAATGTGAAAGTGAAAGTATTATTAGTTCACTAATATTTATTAACCTCTGGTGAAGGGATTATCATTATCTACTTGAGAAATATCAGATTTTCATACTACATAGGAAATGAAAAAAGGACAAGATGATGCATGACACTTAACTTGTAATGCTCTCTGCAATTTCTGTGTACAGAATGCAACCTGTTATCTGTCAACAGTAGTGTTACAAGGTCACCTACTAAACCTAAAACCATCCCTTTTAGTTTCTAAAGGGTCACAAAGATCTTCCTTTGAAAAAATCTCCAAGACCCACAAAATAACAGCAAAGTAATAAATGCTACGAATGTCTAGGGTATTGTGCAAATCAAGTAAAACAAATCATCCTACAGAAGACGTGCCCATCCAAGGTAAGGGCTGATGTTGGAAAACTTGCTGAGAAGTGTCTGCACCATATGTGGAAGTGGGTACAAATAACAGTTCAAACTATTTTTTCCGTTGAAAATACAAGAAGGATCAGCAGAAAAGTTACTCAAAATATATGAAAAAAAGAGAAGATAAGCACCAGCAACTAAGGACCCATTTTCTAGCTATTACAATGACTACACAAAGACAGGCTTGAGTTCAGATGCCATGACTTACTGACCTTAGCAGGTCCTTTGAACCACAAAGATTACAGCATACCCTTAAAGAGGAACCTTTTTCCCCCTTTTAAAACTGTACTGAACATAACGTGGCATCACAGCAATAATTACTGAAGCTACAGGTGTGTGTACATATATATATAGTGTTCTCACCAAATTTAGGAGTGTCATGTTCCTGATGACTTTCTCCCTGTAAGGCTGTCATTTTTTTATGAGCATCAACCCACCATGGCTTGTACTTCAGAAGGTGCTGAATACCTTCATCTTCAAAAAAATCAGCTCTAGGAAAAAAATAAGTCATATGCTATTTATTTCAGTCCATAGTGTCTGTATATTTTTAATGCATACATAGAATATACCTGACTTGGCTCCAGCTAGTTTCCATATATTAGAAATATATTTGACTTAAAATCAGATAGTAATAATTATTAAAATCATAAATAATATCCTCTTCTTACAGCACCCCTTCCTTACTTCCTCCAGCTTCCCTGACCAACCCAGAAGCCTAGGAAATTGATGAGCTTGCAACAGAACACAAAGATGAATAAACATGTCTTGTTCTGGATATATCTAAAGGAAAACACTCCAACAAAAAATAAACAAACAAGCCACAAAAAAACCCACAAAACAAACCACAGCAGCACTCGAACAATGTCACTGGCAGCAAACTTAATTTTATTGGAAAGCTCTCCCACTTTAAAACTACTTATACATTGGGGAGGAAGGGTATGGAGCTGAAGGGCAAAGAGAAAGCAGGGATGGGGACAGACTAAGAAAAACAAGGGCATCCTGTGCAAGCTGAAAAAAGAAGAATTGCTTATGAATTCAGCAACAGATATTACTGCCATCTCATAACAAAGCCACTGTCCTAAAAATCTCAATACAGTAATTCTGGGAGGATTTATACTAAAGATGCAAGTTCTAAGCCTCCTCATCATTTTAGCTTTTTCTTCAAGCCAAAAAAATAGTACAACTACTGAGAACTGATAGTATCTTCTTCATCATCATACAAAACCTTCCCAGTCTACTGAACTCTACCTTCTAAGGCCTGCTGTGAGCAGCCAATGAAAGAAATAAAAAGTAAAGCTATTGTTCCCAAAAGTGCTCTTAAACCAAATAATTTATTAAAATGTGAATATATTTCAACTGAGGTACTTTTACTTGGCCATGTGAAGTAAACCAATACTCACAGGTAATGATCAGGGTCAAATTTGGCAGCCTCAGCTTCCAGGCGTTTCCTCCTACGCTCACCTGTAGGAGTTTGATCTGGATCCTTAATGTCAATAACATCACTGAGTTCATCCTGCAAGTGGAACCAAAATTATAGGACCAAGCCACAGGTATGATATGGAGGATTTATTAAGAGTTTAGGAAGGATGCTTATCAGGATTACCCTGAAATCCCTAGATGCTCTTCAATCTCCTTTTTAATCTTCAAATTCAGACTCCATTGTGCAAATAAACCATCAAAATTTCAGAGAAATGCAATTATTTGAAGCTCCTTAGAATTCATGATATTATCAAGTTTATTCAGGCCAAGACAGGCAGGTTGTTTTTCATTATAATAAAATTCACAACGTTTAACAAAAGCACACAACCACAACAAAGAGGACATAAAAATCATAGATACTGTTCTTGCAACTTTTGATATTACTCTCACAATCTGAAGTGGCCATACATTAATTATTGGGCAATTGCAGTGCCCTTTTAAGCATCATTAATTAGTAATACATTAATTCTGATAGGAAATGTACTTCATTAATTTCATGGTAATAAACCAGTGTATGTATCCTAAGAGAATATAAACACTTGCTCCATTAATAGTAATATTTCTTCTCCAAAACCTGAAAATACTGCAATTCATGCAATGACTTACAGAATTACATAATTAAGTGGCTTTAAACAACTTAAATTGCTTAAACACTTAAATTGCTTAGAGTAAGAACACTATCAAAAAATCATACTATCACCTACTATTTTAATAAAACCTCTGTATGCTACAAATATTATTATACTACCCAGCAGGCTGCAGGTTGCAGATTAGCTTCAATGTATTAATGAATTAAAGAAACTGCTGAAAGCACAAGAGGAATCTAACTGCATTGCAAGGCTCCTAGCCTTTAAACCACACAAACAATATTTCAGTACATCAGCACAACCTTAGTAAATCCAACAAATACCAGGTGGACAGACATCTTGAGGAGTGCACACTTTAAAGGTTATTCTCTTGTGAGAAAAATCAAGTAAAAACTACAAAGAAAATATTACCCTCAATTTCACAATTTAAAAAATGAAATGCAACAACTGTAACGGGACCTACAGATCAGCCACCTTTATTTTGGTTGGGGTTTGTTGGGGGTTTTGTTGAGTAATTTATTTTCATTTAAAAATAAACTAAAATTCATAGCATCTGAAATCTACTGTACCTTGATGTTGAATATGTTTAAAGCCAGAATAGAAGACAATGCCAAATAAAAAGCAACAATGTTAACATCAGACTGGTAACTGCCTGTAGACTGCAGCTTGCCAGAGCCATTCACCTGGCACATGCTGTACTTCATACAGGTCTTTTCCTCTGTGCCCTCACAGGCTAGCTGAGCTGTGCTGGTAACAGCAGCCCACTGCCAGAGGCCATTTTTATCATTTTAAGGGCTGCCTTTCAGCCCTTTCCCCTAACACTGCAATTACTGCAGAACCAGATCAGCCTCTTGGCTCTGCTACTGAACGAACGCAGCCTCAACCACCCGCTCCTTCTGCACGTACAAGGGTTTGTCTGTACTACTACATGCAAAAGCAGAACATTCCCAGTCACAGGATGGGACAAGAGAGAACAGCTACCTAATGATCCCCTCCTGACTACAGAATGAGCCAGGAAGCCCATCCATCAAGAAAATTACCCAGAACTTTTAAGTAGGAAGAGACAGAAATGCACCCACCTGCAGGCGCTGGAACACCCCTGACCGCAGATTCCCAAATCCGTACGGGCTCTGTAGTGGCAGAGCGTTTTCTGCACCTTCTTGATAAGGGGTCTGCTCTATTTCCCAGTCAAATTCTTCCTCCTCCTCTTCAGACAACTCAGCAGAGGCAGCTGTATATATTGCATGGTCAGAGAAAGAAAATTACTACATAGAAAATCCAGCTGATTCAACAGAAAGGTAAAAACCAATAACACAATTAGCCTCATTTTACTGCATCTTTTAAGAACTCTTCTCCAGCTCTGGGTCACACACAGGCAGAAGCTTATAGCAGTCATCCACAGGTTCTGCTTCATATTCTCCAGCTTTCAAAAATTAAGCCCAGGAACAGTAAAATTTTTAAATATCCTCCCTCAAAGACTGAAATAATTGTTGCTCTGCTTTCAAGAAGAAAAGGATTTCATGCCAAAAGAACCCTGACAGGAGCAAAGTGATGTTATCAATAATTTAAGATAGGTATTAAAAAATTAAACATAGATAGTCAAACACTCTTGTCTGTTAAATACTGATGTTAAGGAAGTCATCCACTAGAACCTGTGGTTTTAATTAGCTCCCACTAGTTGAGCTAAATGTCCAGCTCTGGTAGCTTGTAGAAAGCAGACAGCTCACCTGTGTGTGTGTCACACAGCCACTAGAGGGGAACCAAGACCTACAGAGGATTAGCAGTTAAGCACATTTTGGAAAAATGTAAACATAACTAAGCCTACAAAGGTGACAGGTCTATCACCTACAACACCATTATTTCTATACTTAGCCATAATTTCAGATTAATTCACACCCTTGTCATATCCTGTATTGGACAAGAATAGAAATACTGCCTTTTTCTACATATATCACTATGTAGATCTGTAACTGTTTCATCATATACATGTATCACTAGTATAAACAAGATTTTTTTGGTCATACCTATCTCTTCTACTAAAGGTTTTGCTGATCTTGATTTCTTTGGTGCTAAAAGAGATGTCAGCATGTCCAGTCCCTCAAAATGCTGGCCAGGAATCTCCTTAGGTAACCGAATAGTAAAAATTCCTTAAAGGAAAAGTCAGAACATAGTTACTGCATTAAAACAGCCAAGACCAACAAAAATGTGCATTTTTCCTCTAATGAAAAAGGCTCACAGAAACTGGGACACATGGAGGTAGCAGTTGATTGTGCATCCACCTCTGTGGGTATTTCAACCTTACTTCCAAAGTTTCATAAAAATCAAATATTTTAATGATAAAGCATGAGAGTATTTAACCACTTGCAGTCTCTTGACTCACACTATAAAAAACACAAACCAACAGAACACAAGCTTTATTTTATTTTTAATCTTTCCACCCAACAGGCAATCAACAGATCATCACAGGAAACTGCATCCAGCAATCTGATTGTCTTAACTCAAGCACACAACAATGGTTTTGCAAGCAGTAAGTTAAAGGTTTTGTTGCTTTTTTTTTTAATTCCAGAAGGTAGATATTCCAGAAATACCTTCCACCTTAAGGTGTGGAGAAAGCCTACCATCTTCTCTTTTAAGACTTAGCCAAAAGGATTGCCTCAGGATTTTCTCATTTCTACTCAGCAACACCTGACTTCTTTGCAGATATACTAGACCACTGATCTTGATACCGTAACATGTCTAGCTCCCACAGGGCTTGAAGGTGATTTGTACATGATTTTTTCATTATTAGGGAAGTTTTGAAAATGTCCTTTGTGTTTAAAGATGCCCTAAGTATGTTCAATAAACCCTGATTTTTTTTTATACTATATAACATAGGAGAAACTGTACATTTATTTACAGTGTCATATATTTCACTAAAGTTCTACACAATTCCAGTAAGGCAATGTATAAATTATCAGATAGTTAGCAGCATTTTTAATTACACATATTTTAACAACATTAGCTAATACCTTTGTCTGTATTGTAAGATGCTTTTTCTCTGCCATCTTCCACAATTCTTCCAGGAAGTGTCAACCTGTGGGCAAAAAATGAGATGCCTCATTAAATGCCTGACTAATTCTGCAACTTAACATCTCAGCCTATACAAATGTAAAGCACAATCCAAAAGCAGCAAAAAGGATGTATCTACATGACTGCTACTGAAGCACTAATGGAAGTCATACAGTTAAATCCCCACATACTTGAAAACCTTTTTCCCTAACGATTGGCACAAGAGATCAGTATCCGAGATAGAAAAAACCTGTGACTCCTGATTTCCCAGGTTGGATGAGGTCCCAACCACCAGAGATGACACCCCTGGCACTATGTGCAACACCTGGAAGATTCTGCAATTTAAAAACTCTAAGCTAACCCTCAGTGACCCAACTCCTCCAGAGTTCTCATACTACTTATTCAGAAAAAAACAGTTCACAGCATTCTACCAGTCCACTAAAATCCCTCGTGGTCTGCTGATAC